ACTGGCAATGTGGAAGCAGTCTGAGCCTTCACTCCCCCAAAACACACACACACACACACACACACACACACACACACACACACACACACACACACACATTAACTTGATGTCCATCAGATTTCTGCCCTCCACTACTACACTTGGAGCATGTTTACCTTTGCTGTCCTCTCCTTTGTCCGGCTTGGCGAAGGGGAAAATGGGGTTCACATGGACACAATCTAGAATAGCTAGCAGGATTTTAGTGAGTCTGAGCAGATCGCTGAAGTTGTAGAAGCCAAAATAAATCAGGTTCCTGGCTAGATTCACCACCTAATCAAGGAAAACCGATGCCTTTATGTTTGTAGGTTTTTATCTTTAAACACGATGATTATGTTGGGAGATCATGATTGTGTCAGACTGACCTCAAAGGTGAGCTTGTTCTTTTCTTTGTGTGTAAAAGGAAAGTTCTGACACACCACATCCCTGAGGTAGTTCTCAACGAACTCCATCGTCTGTGAGAATCGCTCTTTAATTTCATCTTTAGACGTCCCGTCGTTGTCATAGCTGCAAAACAAATAAAAGCTGATTTTCTGCTGAACTCAGAGGACTTATTTTACGACAACTGTATCTGTCTCTGGGCTTACTCGTTGATCTCGATTTGTGAGGGGATCTCGGACCAAAGCCGTGCGTATTTGACCGGGGTAACTTGCTCCTGGGGGTCGCGGTCCACATGCATGTGGAGCATCAATCTGCAGAAGGAGGCCCGCAAGTCGAAGGGCAGGTCTTCGTCTGACATGCACCGCAAAATCAGGTCAACATCCAGCTGCACGGAGATCTTGTTGATTGCCAGGTACTGACGGTCCAAACACATCCTGGCGAACAGGTTCAGCTGGTACCTGAGGGGTTAACAAACAATACATTTAATAAGCAACCCATTTTACAAACAGTCTCCAACATACTGACACAGTAATTACCTGTAGTAACTGACCACTTCCTTGTCCTCCTTCTGGCCCTCCTTGGCATCCTGGGCCAGCTCCCTGATGCTTTTACTGCGTGTTTCTTTGATATTGCTTTCCTTCCAGAACAGCCACACCTCCTCCTCATCCTCCTCTGACTCCACAGAGTTCTCCCCGAGCTGCACTGCCTCAATCTCAAACCGTGACAGCACCAGCCTGCACGTTATTTAGGAAGAAAAAGAAACAATGTCCTTCTTTAGTTTGGCAATCTGGCAAGTGTAAACTAAAAAAACAACACCTAAAAAACGCATAGAGGTAGCATACATATATGACCCCCGCACATATGCAAAGCACCAATGCACCTGAACAGATTTATTGTTTTGGGTGGGGGTCCGGAGCGGGTGGGCCCAATGGACAGCCCTTCATCACAGCTTCACAACATAAAAAAATCTAAAGCTCCTATGTTRAATAGCTTTTGAGTTATAAGCATTTTTGTATGTCCAGACACCCTCTCTTTGGATGGAGCCCCCTCCTCAAGTATGGGGTCYATAGTAAAATCGTTGGCTGACGTAGTGTAGGTCAGACACATCTTCATTCCTACAAAAGTTCATGTCGGTCAGTGCAGCCGTTTCTGTGCTACGGCTGACCAAAAATCACTCACATTCTGTTATTGAAAACGTAGAGAAGGACTCACTTGGTTTCTATGAGGATGTCTTGGTTTGCTGGATCCAGCACAGCRTTACAGATGAGTTCTTGTGTTACAGGGATGGACTTGTTCATCGAYACACACAAATCTGACAGGTAATCCAGAAACCTGGACACAAACACAAGAAACACATGGATTCAGTCTGTCACCACACTTTAAAAATAAGATAAATTACAGCTCAGAAGCTGTTCCATTTACACCCCCMCCCCCCMMAAAAAAWACATCAAATAGTTTCAAAGTGTCACATTTAACCACTACGCTGCAGTCTTTTCACATCGCCAAATGTCGGTTTATGGCGCCACTGATTTGAAAACACCAACCTTGGCTCGCGGTTCTTGCGAACCAAGCTCACAAACGTGTCAATCTCTGCAGCTGTGATGTGCTTCTCCAGAAGCTTGCGGTTGTTGTGGAGCAGAGCCGTGATCGTGTCTTCTGCCAGGACGTCRTAGCCGATCTGTTTCTGCATGAAGCGAAACTGCTTGGCGATATACTCCTGCGAGACAGGGAGAAATTCAATACATAAAATTTATTCTATTGTTGTCTATACCAGGGGTTCTTAACCTATTTGACCTCGGGGCCCAATTTGTTGAACATAAAGTAACGCGAGGCCCAGACATTACCAATGTATGGATATAAATGATAATTATTCTAAATCTTGGTTAAATTTTTTGTATTGTATTTGCATTATAACTAAATTAAATACACTTACAGTTTACAAGTAAAACTCCTGTCAAATAATCACAAGACATGATTGTGACAAACATTTTTTTATATTGTAACCTGCCCATAACAATTATTAGAACAAATATAATGGTCAGTCAACAGACCACTCAGGCTTATCAACACAAAAATAACATTTTTTTAACAAACAACAAAAATAGATGATTCAATAAATAAAATTGTGGGCATAAAATAAATACATTCAAAATGGTTAATTTAAATGTTTGAAATAAAAAAACTGTAAAAAATCAATTAGATAAAGAACAAATAAAAATATTGCATTTTTAAATTTTTGCATGGTAGAACCAGAAGTTTCTCTTCATATTAGTGACAAACAATGACAGTAACAACAGCTTTTTGACTATTTTAAAGTTTCTTTAAAATACATTAAAAATGTTTAAAAATGAACTCCAAAAATTAATTTGATAAAGTGCAAATTAAAATATAGCTGTTTCTGCAAATCTATTTGATAATGTTTTGAACTTTTAAAATATTGCATGGTAGAACCAGAGGCTGCACATGTATTATTCATTTTAGTAACAAACTGGCATTTTTTTTTGACAGGTTGCCTTCATTTTTGCTTCTACTTTTTATTTAAAATAGGTTTCCATTCTCAGCTGGTATCTAAGGTTCTTCTACGTATTAAAACAGTTGTTAAACATCTGCGTGGCGCATTACCGTTACTAGTGGTGAGAAAATGTACTGCACTTTATTCAAAATCATAGCGGTCCTGCGGCCCTTTGCGGCCCAAAGTTAAAAACTGATGTTCTTCTGAGGCCCTCAAGGTGGCGCTCATCTCTGGTCTATACCAATTTCACATTCATTAGCATTTTGTGAAAGCATCAGTTTCAACCCACACTAAATATTGGCTCAATTTATCTTCAAGAGAACAATGAGACACCTTTTGTAACATGTGGTGCTGGTACTACCTGGTTTTTGCGGTAGTCTTGCTGAGAATGACGTAAAACTCTATAACACAAGCGACAGATGTGTCTGAAGGGGGCGTGGCGCTGGTCAGCCAGCTCGTCCAGTCGCAGCATGGGTCCATTACCGCTGTCTGTAAACGGAGCCTGGAGCAGCTTGAAAATCTAAAACAAAAAAAGAAAAGATTTTTAAAAAAGTAAGTGGTGTGTGCAGTCTGCTCCGACAGAGTTACCAAGACCAGGGGAAGGTTTCAGTGCAGCTGCACGGAGGGACCTGGAGTGTGTTCAAAGTGTTGCTTTTAGTGGTTTAATACATCACCTGTTTGAGAATATTCTGTTCTCTCATGAGCTTCTGTCGCTCCCTGTTGGGTTTGTTCACCATGATCTCCAGAACATCCTGTCCGTTGTTGGGAATGTCCACTACAAAGAACACCAAATCCTCCAGGAGCTTGGTAACAGCCCTGAAAACACACACAAAACAATAACACAAGTATCCTTCCTTTAGAGAGGAAATGCACCACTCGGCCTCCGTGTGTATTTTCTACCTCCTCTCATTTTGAGTGATGGTGCCTTTCTCCAGCTTTCCTGCGATAGATGCCAGAACCTTACTGGCGTCGTTTGCAAAATCGAGGTCTCTGACTTCAGCCGGGGAGACGGGAACGATGGCAAATGCCTCTTTGTCCTCTTTGAGGGCAGATGTGCCGATCTTTATTTAAGGGGTGGGGAAACAATATACAACTTTGTCAGTTATTAAAAGAAATCCAGATATTTTGGAGTATTTTTGATTATTTTTTAGAAACATAAAAAGATTTCAATGATGATAATAATTATAGCTTGACTCAAGAACAGTTTATTGCATGGACATRAAGCATGACTCACACGCAGCATGACCGGCTTCTCCTCATCCTTGTCAATGGGCTGGTTGGTGCTGTGAACCCACGTGTTGGTGCACAAGTGTCTGAGGCGCACGTATGAGTTTCTGAAGAGACATTTGTGTAAGTTTAGATACTTTGTTCCACAATGCGTTTCCTTGTAAAGACCACTGACACATTAAAAAATAAAAAAACATTAACRTCTAATAAAAGGTTAAAATATTAGTAAAATCAGAGTAGTTATCATTACAGCATGACATTCCACTGACATAAAGGTTGAATGTCGTACGTTTTCAGATAATTAACTTGAGCAGCAATATCAAACTCTGAATATGCTATGCTAGATATTCTGTACCTATGAAAAGGACCTAAATAAGAGTGAGAGAAGAAAAATAAATATGTTAAAATAAAGATTCTGTGTGGGTGGGTGCTCAAAGTGTGTRTTGGGAGTGACTCTCAGCTACTACCATGCTACATTTTATCTCAACGTCAGTAAAACCGACTGAGTTATAGTCATTTTTGTGTTGGGTAAAGTTGATTAGCTGTGGCGGCCATCATGAACTGGGTGAATCCGTTGTAAATTTACACCCGATTATTATTTTCTGAGAAGGTCTTTAAAATGTGTCTGCTGGGACTTGATATATTTCGCTAACAGACAAACACAGGTCCCAAACCTTTCATGTCTGCGGTTGACAAAAATGGAGACTCTGAACCAGAAAAAGGCAAAAAAAAAAAACACTTGGGTAGTTGTTACAGTTACACACGTTAAAGTATTTAAAAGTATCAATTTGATGATGATGATGCTTGAACATGAACTGAAAAAGCCACTGTGATGTCTGAGCTCCGTCTGTTTCAGTAAGAACACTCAAAGGGACATTTYAGATGTGGAAAACAAAGAGATGTTGTAAGCTGGAACAATATTCTACAGAAAGTCGGTGACATAAATCAAGAAGAGCACAGCACGGGTGTTTAGACAGGGAAGGGACTTTTGGGTGATGTTATGGGTTTGGGTGACATTTTGTTGGCATTTCCTGAAATAACTTGTTCAGAGAGAGAAGAAACACTACTAAAAAAATAAACACACAGCCCATGTCAGCCTCTTTCAGCGTGCTTCCCTTTCTACAGGCTGCAGCTGCAACCAAATTATTGTCACAAAATCTCAGCCAAGTTAAACATCTTTGGGAAGTCCTGGACTCAGATCAAAACCAAACCAAAGGTTCATTTGGAGGCTTGATGTCTTATTAAGACACTTATTTTACATCTATTTGACTCTCACTTCCTCAAGAGTTTCTCATGACATACTGCACGTCTGTGTTTACTTGTGAAAGAACGCATCAGTCAGAATGATGATGTCTTTTCACAAGTTTAAAGCCACGCTTTTGCTTATCTGTGACACCATTAACATGAGCTGAACCTTGCAGAGTCAGTAACAGACTCCCACATGAAGACGTGCAACCACAGGTTTTCCAGTGCTTATTTTACAACAATGGAATCATCTAAAGTGGAAGTCCCCTCCTCACGATGAGTCCACAGTTTGGTTTTCAGTGGAAACAGTGACAGACCGGAGCTTAGGTTATTCATTTCTCTATAGGTATTAGCCTAAATTAATAAGAGGAGCTTCTTACGTTACTTTCCTACCTGGGCACAAGTGAGTCTCCTCCTCTTAAGGTGGTGGGGTCAAGTTCAAATATGGAGGAGATGTCATTTCCATCAGGGACCGACACGAGCGTGTACATGACTTTATCTGGGGCGGTTTTCAAGCGGGCACGCAAGGCTTCCTGCTCCGAGTCAAGCTGGAGAAAACAGAAATTTACAACAATGTAAAACATCCTAACAAACAGATCATTTCTTTACAGCAGCTGACATTAGAAAATGTAATGATCACCAAAAGAGATTGAGTCAAGATTAAAATGTTTTATTTAAGGCATTTTTTTTTCTCATTAAATTGTTTCAGTCCATATAAGAGCTGACAACAACCTGTTGACTGAATAGAACTGTCAAAGAGATTTGCATTAGACAGAGAAAGGCTGACATCTGGTGTCCGAAAATATCATCACATCATTCAACCTTCACAGCCAGAAAATAAGGCAGCCCGCCTCTTTTTCAACAAATAAGTTAGACATGCTTTGATGCTCTGAACCATGACTCAGGATTATTATCAGTTAGATCAGTAGAAATTAATGAGCTGACTTGAATTGGAATAATTTATGTAAATAAATGACATTTATGACAGGAAAAGTGAGTCTTTCTTACAGGAGAGCGGGAACCAAGGCCCCTCTCTTCGTACTCTGGGTTCACCTGTAAAAAATACAAAAACAAGTGTTTCACTTTGGAAAGTATCCAAACAGTTTCAGTTAATTATCAAATGAGGACAACAGTGAAAATTAAATTCTAAAAAAAGACAACATGTTTGCACCAGATTTGCCCACTTTTCATCCACAGTTCCCAAAGGCAAATAAATCCTTTCGTCAGAAGATATGGATGACCTCCTCCCACACAGAAGCTGCAGTGTGGCAGAGGAGGAGGCAGTGGTAAAGTCTGCACCATCGTTTGCAGATTACCTCCCATCAGGGACATTTACACCATGCGTGGGACAAGAGACACCTGCGTCCTCTGTGACCCCACCCATCCTGCACCCGAACTGTTCACGCCCTCAGGTAGGAGAAGTGAAAGTGTGAATAAAATATTTAAACCAAACGATTGCTAATCGAGTTTATTCATTAAAATTAATTAAAACAGACCCCTCCCCCCACACACACTTTTCTTTAAATCTGCTAAAATAACCAGATTGACCTTTCAAAGAACAGACTGACTGACCTCTGCAGCCAAGTAGTGTCCAGTGGCCAAGTGTTTGAATCTGAACAGGCTGTTCCAGTACCCGGCACCGCCTCGACACGGATCGTGCTGTACGACCTGATATCAAACAGTGGAAGATAAACGTTCAGAACCAGATTGCTGGTCTCACTTTGTATTAAAACATAAAACAAGTTAATCTTAAAACAACTTAAAGCACCAACTGAACAGCTTTTTGTTCCTGCTCACCTCTATCTCCCAGAGTGCTTTGCTGCTGGTTGCTGAGGTAGCTGACTGCCGTCCAGTAGTGCGGAGGAAAACATACTGTTTTTTTCTGTGATCGTCACAAGTCAGAAACTTCTCTTGCTCTGCGTGAAATAATCGTACAACGTCACCCTGGAAAAAGGGGAGAGCGTTTCAAAAGACTTTTAGTCCTGGAAAGAACAAGCTTTTCATCAATGCTGACAGTTTTTTAAGGTCACTATTTGAAATTAAACATTTGTGCCCAATATTTTATTTAGGGAGCACTAAAACCAGAAATCTAAGATAATTAAATTACCTAAAGTTAGAGTAACACCTAATATTAAGGTGTTGAATAACATAAGTCTTATGCTGTTGACTGATAATACTAAAATAGTAACAACCAAAGGAACCGGCCCACTCAGATCTGATGAGTGATTTTATGTAACAACTAAAGCTAAAAAAAAATGCTTTGAAAATGTAAAAAACTAACTAAAAAAATAAAACAAGAAATTTAAAAAAACTCCCACTTTCATTAAAAATTGTGTTGTTTATTTAACCACGTGTCTATTTATTTAACCATGCATTAATGCTCGCTTAGTGTTAAGATGTCTATTTCATGCAAGCATTATAGATATGCACCRTATTTTACTGTGGCCATTATTGAAGGTTAGGGTGCAGTATAATTTACTTATAAACAAAGTTATTCTAACCTGAATCAGTGTATGAAAAGCTTATTTACATCAGATACATAATTATGTTACTAAATACTCTTGTGAAACAAAATTAATTGYAAATTGTGCTAAGATAAACTTGTTACAAAAAACAGTTGTCTATAAAGCTATTCAGGARTGGAATAAATTACYTAAAAACATTAGATATTTAAAAAKCACATTTTCTTTTAAAAGAGCAGTGAAATCTTATTTGTATTAAATCTTATTTTGTCATTATTATTATTATTTGTTTGGTTTTTAACTAGGTTTATGTTTGTAATCTTGTAAAATGTGGACTTTGACTAATCTTGTGTATATTTTATGTCACGATTTTATGTGTTGTAAATATTGTGTGTTATATCAGTTGGACCCCAGGAAGATTAGTAAGCATCTTGGTGGAAACTAATGGGGATCCTAATCAATAAATAAATCAATCAATAAATCAAATGTAAAATTTTTAACCAAATTTGTGCGTACTCCTTTAAGGACGAGCTCCTGGTTGTCGCTCCATTTCATGAACAGGACGATCTTCCAGCTGGTGTTACAGTTTACAGAGTTCACCTGCAACACAAACAGAGTTGAACGTGACTGCAGCGTTCGTTTCGTTGTTTTTTTTTTCTTGCAGTGGCAGCAGTCCAAGAAGGGATGACGTGATGTTTCTAAAGTAAACTTGTTTCTCTTGTAGCTCCTAAATTCAGAGAAAATCATTTCCTTCTACAACACAAATCACAGCTGGGAGAACTTGTTTTACTGGCTAAGTGAATTCATGCAGTCATTAATAMCTATAATACCAAATGTAAGAGGTGAAGTGAGAACTTGTATAACAAGTTGTTTATCTGCCTGAATTTGGAGGTGAAGATTTGCTGTAAAAAGTAGACAGAAAATATATACAAAACTACCATCATAACCCATAGGTTGACATACAGCAACAGTGTTGGTTTAAAATTTTCAGAAGAACATCATCATGGCCACAACCATTTTTAACTGCAAGCTTAAAAATGTATTTTGTTTGTACCTTCTTTTAAATTTAGAGGCTTTAAACCAGTAAAAGGATAACCTCGAAAATAGTGTTTTTTCCCTCTGAGGTGAAGAGATATTTTAYATTTTTACATCCAACTGAATCTGTCTCATTTTCAGTAAACAACACAATGTCTAAAATATTTATTTAGTCTTCGAAAAACTGTGAAGCCATTTGATAACATATTAATTTAAGATCACTAAATAGGACAGAGCCGTACAACATTATGAGAGAGAGATAATAAATCTTTGACATTAATGCTAGCTTTACCCATCTGTTATCTGCTGAGTCTGTGGAACTGCCATAAAGTCCTGTGGTTTTCAGTCAGACATCTAATAAAAGACTGGTTATAGGGGAGCAAATAGCATTAACCAAACCTCATTGCATCCTGGGTTATCCACAAGCTGGTGTGTGCTTGCATGCAGCGGCTGACCAGCATTCACTGGGTTCAGGACCACTTTGTCTCCAATCACCACCTGTAAYCACACAAGAACAGGTTGCATTAAACTAAAACCTCTTTTAAAGAACAAAACAACAAACTACCTTTGTAGTGTCACTATTTTAAGTGCAACTGTTATTTTACTGTGCAACATAATATYGCTATCAATAAAACTTAAAAAGAATCACTTACACTCTATTTGGCTTTTAATGTTGTTTTGAATCTAGTAATCTGTTGTAGTTTGCTCTTTATTAGTTAGAGCTAAAACACAACTAGGGTCGTTTATCACATGAGCCACATTTTCTCAAGTTGTTTTGTGTTTTTTTTTTTTGTAGATACTTAAAATAGAAACAGCTTTAACAAAAAAAGACTATGGTGCTCCCGTTGGTACTTTTAGGCAACTATTCACTCAAGTCAACTCATCCCAACTTTATTTATAAAGCCCTTTAAGAGAACCACAGCTGCAAAAAAGTGCTGTACATACATAAAACCAAAACATGAAAACACAAGAGAACGATTAAAAACACTAAAACCAGTAATAAAACAATAAAAATAAAATAAAAATAGAATAAAAAAGTCTCAGGCTGTGCCAAAAGCCAGAGAGTAAAAGTGTGTTTTTAGACAAGTYTTAAAACACAAGGGTAACAAATGCCTATGTCAAATAGAAATTACTGTTTTACTTTTTTTTTTTTTCAGGAGCAGATTGCCAGGATGCTGAATGCTGCAGATGAGTGTTGTGCATTAATTTTTATATGAGATCCAAGCTGGTTGTAGGTTGAGGTCAACACATTTAAACTGGAAGCAAGTCTTTCATTGATAAGGAGCTGGAATAAAGCCCTCACCCCAACCCCATGCCAGCATATTTCTATAAATAAAAATACATTCCTACATGGGGAAAATGCCACTTAATTCTATCTAAAAATGCTAAATTGTGTTTTATTTTAAAGCAACAATTCAAAATGAAGAAACAAAGTCCTATCTCATCCTCAGCACAGTTCAGGCCTCTGGCACAGATTCACACGTGGTTCAGTTCCACCCCCCACCGTCCCCCCAGAGCTGTGGACTCACATTGTCCCCGATGGAGCGCAGCTTGTAGAAGGGCTGTATGTAGAACCACGAGCCTTCGTTTCCTGCGGTGTCCAGCATCACCCTCATGGCGTTCTTCTCCAACAGCGCAGGCAGTCGTTTGTTCACAGTCAGGTATTTGTTGCTCTTCAGGTGGAGGAGCTGTAAACAACACAACAACACACAAACAAAATGTCCTTATTTCATAAAAAATGACCAGAAGTGGGAAGTGCTTTTGATAGTATTTCAGTGACAGGAAAACAGCTTACGGTAAATTTAGGATATTATTAGCTATGAAAAAAGTACAACACTGCACAAATCTTCAACCACCCCCAATTTCTTCTATTTTTTTTTTTTTTTTTTTTGCTTATAAGGAGGCAAACTTTCTTCTAGTACTTTAAAGGGGTGTAGTTCTTAAGCTTTCAAATAATGAAGTAATTAGCAGAGAAATCTTATTTCAAACTAAATTTAGCAGGAGTTTTTACATTAGTTTATTAAAGTAAAAGGAGACTTTAATGAGGAACAAACCTGGATGACGTTCCCGTACTGTATGACTGTTCCAAGCAGTTTTTTGTTTTCAGAGTCATTTTGTTTCTTCTCCAAGTCAGATGCATGCTGGGAAACAAACAACAGATGAGAGAAAATATAATCCTTAGTGTACCTTATATTACTGCCACCACTTTGCTGTAATAAAAAACATCCAGCTTGTTGTCAAAGAGGAGGATTCTGAGCCAAAAAAAAGGTACAATTCAGAAGAAAGTCACATTGTAGCTGGAAACAGATTATGATCGTTCATTTTATCTTTTGGTCAAATGCACTTGCATTGCCAAAAGACAGCCTTTGTCCTTTTATTGAGTTTTGAGGGCAGGATTGTTCGGTGCTACTTACCTGGAGCTTGTTGAGCAGCACAGCRTCCGTGTTTCCACCAGGCTTCGCTGCTTTCCAGAACTGTTTCTGGGCCGAGTAGCGGTTCATGGGACAAAGTTTAAACAGGCAGTCTGCACAGAGACACAGGGGCAGAAACCCCCAGAGATGAAGATTAATACCAAATAAATCACACAAACAGAAAACAAAGTTGAAAAATATGTGGAAATGTGATGACAAATGTGACGCAGGTAAATTAGCTCTGAAAGGTCCGCACTGCGGCAGCCCAAACCAATACATTTTAAAGATGTCTCAGCTGCTAAAACAGCATCAAATTTATTGTTTACTTTATTTTATTCACTGCTCTTTGAAGACTGACCCAGACACGTGTGTGCTTGCACTTCAAACACATATTAATAATTCTCCTGAATGGAGATCAAAGGGCTTTTTCTGCCGTGGGGAGGGGTGGGGAGGGACAGCACAGCATGTGTGTGCGCTTGCTTGTGCAGAACAGGCATAGTAAAATGTGGCTACGTCCTGCGGTTAGATTACGATAAGTAACGCCACAGTTAAAACATAAAAAACTCTCTGTTTGCAGTTGGAACAGAAAGKGGGAGTGGTCATCTGGAGCGTGTAACCACAGCAACAACAAGATGCTACGGTCTAAATTTGCTGTTCATTTTCATAAACCCTGCTGAAAGTCAGCGGGACGGAAAGCAGGCCTTTTGTTTGCATGTGGACACAGTTGTAGCAAAGTTCCTCTTCTGTCCCGAGAGAGTTCCTCTTCTGCAGCGAGTGACAGCTGAATGAGACTTTCACCCTGCCTGTTTTAGTGCAGACAGATTTTGCCTCCTCCCTCCAAGTCGTGGCTTTTTTTTTTCTTTTCTGATTTTATCTCTCGTCTGACCATGGCTTTCTTTACTGAGAGGGTGAAAAGAGGAGGAAAAGAACAATCTGTCCATCCCTGTTCTCCCCTTTGAGCTGCAGCAACATGACCAAATAAGGCCAGCCATGAGAAGGGGAGTTGGACCTAAAAGAGAGGAGAGAGGGTGGGGACTCCCTGTCTTCCTCCCCTTCAATATTCTGTCATCCCTCTTTTTCTTCTCTGAATTCCTGTTTTCACACACGGTTCATTCCCTCATGATTAAATGATCCAAAACTTATAAAGTTCACCACTTTGTGCCCTCCGTCAGATACGGCTTGTCTTAAATTTGGTGCAGCAAGAAAAAAAAGGAAGTGGAAGAAAGAATGAGGAAGGAGAGAGGGAGAGTGAAAGAGTGTAAGAAACTCTGCTTATGTCAATACCTATATTTAAAGTTCACACAACTGCCTATGAACCAGCGCAAGGATGTAAATTAGATAACACACAGAGCTCCAGACTGAAAGGCAAACAGTTTCATCACAGTCTAAAGCAGGGCTATTCAACTAGCGGCCCGCGGGCCCCATCCGGCCTGCAAGTGACCAAAATTTGGCCCGCCAATTGGTTTATTCATCTCTTAAACCCACCCCCGGTTTTCTACTTTCTTTTAGTTAAACATAGACAAGATTGGTATCTACAGAAACGTCAGAATCTTGGCTAGAAGCTGGTAAAAATCATTTCTAAGAACACTCAAGACAGTTAAAATTACAAGCAGTTGAAGATAAAACTATGAAAGTGAAAAYAAATTTGGTTTTAAAAATTGGCAAGTCAGAGATGTCAAAATAATATTTGTGTCTAATGAGGCATAATGTGTTCTTTTTGTTTGATCATCACTACATTAATAGGATTCTGTATGTTGTATTCATGATTAAATGCAGCAAAATWAACTATTTCAAAGGTGACAGATCTTTGTAATACTTGGTTTATTTACATAATAAATTTAATTGCTGGATGTTCGGCCCCTCAGCTGTTGACTGGCAGTAATTGTGGCCCCCGGAGCAATTTAGTTGAATAGCCCTGGTCTAAAGCAAGGACTTGTCAAATGTTTTTGGTCAGGGGACCCCCTTCATAGACTCCCTCAAAAACCTCCTGCTGATTAAAAATAGTTTAATGTCATTTTTAACCCCTAAATGCCATGGGAACAATACGCATGTTTGTTTTACTGTCCCATTGGTCCCCTACATGTATACATGCACTTTTTAAAATGAAATGACATAAATAATAATTTATTGTAATTTATTTTGGAGACCCCCAAGCTACAGTCCTGGAACCCCTATTTGAGATTAAAGGCCCAGCATTCTCCCACTGTGTTTCTCGCCAGGGTTTAAGATCATATTATGAGAAATGATGGCATTTTGGTTACAAACTTTGAAACTAGCTGCTCAGGGCATGTGTTGCAATATAACTCTCAGACACAACCACATCAAATTTTAGCTCAGTATCTCTAAGACGGACTGAGTTAGAGCTACTTTTGTGTTGRCTAAAATCGATTAGCTGTGGCTGCCATTTTGAATTGGGTTGACTCCAAAAGTTTGTTTTAGTTCTAGATGCACATTTAATGATAACTTTCTGAAAGTTTCATTAAAATCCATCAGGTTGGTTCAGGAGCTGTTTTGCTAACAGACACAGGCTTGATTCTGATAGTTTAGGTTTAAACAAAGACCTCACACACTTGGGAGTGTGATACTACCACACCAAACTTTGAGTTAGTAAAAACATAATATCACATAGGGCTGGGTGATAAGTCGATTTAATTGATTAATTCCAATTTGCCATTTACAAAGATTTAATCTTGGGAAAATAGTGATTTTATTCCCACAAGTGCACTCTTTGGGGCTTATGAAGTTCAGAGGTCACCCCACTTGTCCCTCAAGACGCTTGGTACATGACGAGACAATATGACAGCTGGCAACAAGGATCTACTTCCCAAAAAAGGCAGTGTGTCTTCAGTTATCTGGAACTGGTTAGGTTTTGCAAACTTGGACTTGGAGCAACAAACACCTCACTGCAAAATCTGTTTGAAGGCTCTTGCTACAAAAAGCAGGAGTACAACAAATTTGTTTCGGCACCTGACCTGGGAAGCAAAATCGGTTAAAATCGAAAATCAAATTTGGGATGAAAAATTTTGGAGATTTTTTTTTTGGGTCATATCACCCAGCCCTAATATCACAACACAAACACCAGAATACGTGAGGATTGCTGAGTTAAAACAAACACATCTGCAAACTATAAATGCAGAGAAATGAGTGTTTTAAATGTTAATCTTCACAAGTTTCAGCTCTTCCAAATCTCTTTGAGTCACTGATCGACTTCAAAAAAGATGTGTGCAATTCACACAATAAAACCAGGTGTAAGAGATCGTAGATGAGCAGTTTTACAATCCTCATTACCTGGTGAGCTTGGGAAATTTTATTGGAGAGCAGGATTTTTCTCTGACGTGATTACAGTTTAACAACCACACAACTTTGCATTTTCTGAGACTTTTATTTTGTTAAAGAGATCACTGAGAAAGCAACGAATCCCTTGTGCATCAAAGGCAATAAATGAATTAAGAGATGACATCTTTCCCTGACTGCAGGACCTCTCCTCCCAGTGACAGAACCAGAACAGAAGAGGACACTGACGACAGAGCAGCTTCTGCTGTTTATCGCAGGCAAACCACCCAGCTCGCCCGTGTTGTTTCTCTGACAGCAGCAGAGCTGTGAGATGACAACAGAAACAAGATGGTGACAAGTTATTACTCCTTACTGAGTAAAGGCTGGATGAGGTTTAAATATTTAGGCRTAAACACAAAAGCAGAGGCTGGATATGAAATGGGCCAGTGAAATAGAAATGTGTAGCTAGAGCAAGGGAACACCTTATTAAGGCTTTAACATGCAGCTAGTTTAGGTATTAAAAAACACATTAAAATGTAAAAATAACAGTCGGAGATATCTGGTCCTGATTTAACAAACAACTTACTTTAAAAAAGGAGAAAATCTGAGGTCGTCATTTTGACCAGCTTTGTTGCTTTTATCTTGTTTAACTTTTTCCTGCTTTTGTTTGATTTTAATCCTTTTGTTATAGTTTTTAGAAATTTACTAGAACAATTTGGTTAGTTTGGTGATTTATAAAAGACTTGAACTTAATTTGAACTTGATTTCAATCAACAGATACCCAAGGGTTTTATTAACCTTGCTTTTGATTAAAAATGTGATATTTTGCATAAAAATTAGGGGTGCTGATTTATCGGCACTAATTTCCTTTATTTTGGGAGACTGGAGATCGGCCGATACTTAGATAAGATTTGTGGAAAAGATGCTTCTCATCTACTTCTACAAAGATCTGAAAACCAGCCACTGTCACCTTTTGCTCTGCTGTGAGCACTATCAAACAAATTAAAACAAGGTTGTATTGTTTCAAGTGTATAGTTCAATGTTTTTCAATAAAACAAGATTTGAACATTGAAGGTGTACGATCTTATGGGTGTATAAGCACCTTATAACATCTGACAGTGTCAGCTATTTTAAAAATCTGTATCAGCTAAAATCAGAATCAGCAGGTCAGACTTTTTAAAGATCAGTGATCGATGATCGGCCAGAATACTGCAACGGTGCACCTCTAATAAAAACAAACAAACCCATTTGAATTTGATGCACATACGGCAATAAAATATAGTAAATAATAATAATAATAATAATAATAATAATAATAATAATAATAATAATAATAATAATAATAATAATAATAATAATAATAATAATAATAATAATAATAATAATAATAATAATGCTATCCTTTTGAAAGTGTTGCTTTAACATGAAGTAATGCAAAAACTATTGGCCAACATGCTTCTGTTCCAGTTATAATTGACTGGTTGTGGTGTCTGATATGCTGTCATTTACTAATGTTTACTTCTTTTTTCCCCCGCTAGATTTAGAAGTTGATGTCACCTGCGACCTGCCCAGGGTGTACCCCACCCCTCGCACTGTGACAGCTGGATATGGGCACCAGTGACCCCCACGACCCTTAAAGGAATAAGCGTGTATTGATAATGGATGGATGGATAGATTTAGAAGTCATTCCATTCATTAAGACATGGTGGTTGAGATCCAAGCAGGGTCAAGACACTGTCTAGCAACTCAAGTCTTAAAACTTCTTAGGGGTTCATGYAAAGGGAGCTTTATAGACCTTTACATCCCCATCAGTTTTACATTACACMGTAGAATATCATGGTTACAAGCACAAACAATGACGAAAGTGGCAGCTAACTGTAAATCAACCTGTAAATCACTGTGGTCTAGGACTCTCACAAACTAGCTATTAGCTTGTGAATCCAACCAGGATTAAACTTTGTTCAAAGGTATCTACAGCAGGTAAGATATTGTTTAGAATATTTCCACTGAACCCCACTACAAAAGAGCTGAATAATAACTAAAGCTTGGTTTCTGATTTGAGTTACAGTAGGCTATTTACAGAGAAGGAAACATTTTTAYAACACTGTATTTTTAGTTTGTAACCTCACAGAGTTAAAAAAAAAAACACAAAGGGTTTCATCTCTGCTGAGCTCTGCTGTCAGCATGTGCAGGAGAGATGGCAGGCCCACAGAGGGAGTGGGCCACCATCCTTAAAGAAACTTTAACTGTATAACAATAACATCACTGCGTGGCTGAGATTCAGCTGGGCGGAAACAAGAAAAACACAGGATTATGTTGTAAAACAGCTGAGTCATGTTTCAAAGGCGCTGATCAGAATTGAAAGAATAATTCCAAGAATTACTGCCCTGAAATGCACATTTTTTAGCTGCTCCCCTCTGCAGGGAACACGACAGAAAACAAACTCAGAATAGTTCAACGCCGGCTGGAACCTGGGCTCGTTAATTGTTTAATTAGAGATYGTGGAGCTGCCACCCCGCTGATGTGTAGGTGCAGGTCAGTTTTTACAACACTGTTCAGTTCAACAGTAAAGAAGGCAGACGTGTCAGAGCTGCAGAAACAGGCTCCATGATGGAGACTATAACAGTGAGGAGGCTGTTGTGTTTACACTGGGAAGGAATGTGAGGCATTCCTCTGCAGTGACAGAAAGACGCAGTGGATCTGACTGCAGATTTTTCAATAATTGTGTGACTCGTTTTATTTTGTCGCTACAGCTTGATGAAAAGCAGTCACTTCTAAGTTTGTCTTCTGACTTAGCTGAAATCTCGAGCGTTTGTTTTGTGAACTTTTTGTTTACCAAAGCTAATCTCTGTGGGAACTGCCTAACTGGAGCACTTCCAGTGTCATCTGCAAACACTTTTAATTTCTCTCTCTCCATTTTTATTGGATACTCATGTGTTTGAGACTGAAATCTCTTCACCAGCTCCTCACTGGAGTTACAACATAYGCTGCCATCAAATTCTAAGTTACCTTATTTTTTCGTAAAACTGGTACGACTTCTGACCTTTCTGTGCTTTAATGATAAGCTTCATAAAGCAAATCATGGGAACACTGTGTAATGTAAGATTAACTGAGACAAAGTGATCAGTAGAAGAATTTCTAACTCAGCCAACAGAGGTTCCCTCACTGTAAACACGTTTGATGCTGAAAATAGCCACGCAACCAATTATAGCCTCTCTGTTGAGGTGGAAATATGGGCACTGTGTGTTTTTTTATTAGTTTGTTCACATGATCATGCTGAAACTATGGTGGTTAATTTGGTGGAGAGGAAGAGCGAGGACAAAAGAAAAGAAAAGAAAAGAAAAGAAAAGAAAAGAAAAGAAAAGAAAAGAAAAGAGATTGTGATGCAGATAGATCATATTTCCTTTAAAGCTCAGACATCGTTTCACCAGAGCAGCTCATTGTGACTGCCTCTGAAATTCTTTAAATTATATCTTTGTGGCTGAAATTTCCGTCAGACTCTCTGAAGATTTGATGCAGATTATTTCCTGTTCATTTAAAACCTCAAGTCGAAAGATAAGACCATTACTTTTCTTTTTTTTCCAGCTGAAGAATTAAGTGAAACTCACATAACACAGCTAAGAGGATAGTTCAAATGAGAAGCTGTGGAAGTTTAGTCTACAAAATAAACTTGGCAGCGGCACACAGAGACATGAGAAAATGGGAGAGAAACTCGTCTTTTTAGGAGGAATCTGTGTCTGTGGTTATAGTGTTGATAACGGGAGATTCAAGAGGGAGGATAACGCCTCCTGGGACATGAGAGACCCACAGAGAAATTTAACTCTAAGCACTTGTATAGTTCCGTTTTTTTTTTTTATTTAACGCTGGAGACAGCAAACACACTTTTCAGAAAAATAAAATAAAGCGTGTCCATGTGGAATGTTTGCTATTCACCATGCCTCAAAGACAAATATTTTACAGGTAAGGTGATTCAAGGATCAATATATTTGAGAGGTTTATTACAATAAAAGCAACTGTTTAAAAAATCACATTGGTGTTTGTTTTCAGTTATTTTTTTTTACATTATGAGTGAATGTGACAAATATTTTAAATGAATCCTCTGGTGAAAACAAGATAGCACCAAAACATTAATTAAAAAACAAGTCTTCCTTAAAGGAGTGCACATCATCGCCACACCTTGCAATCATTTAGCACTTGGGATATGTGTTGGGGATCACTCTCAGCTACTACCAAATCAAATTTAAGCCCAGTAGCTGTAATATTGACTGACTTACAGTCATTTCTGTGTTTGCTAAATTTGATCAGCTGTGGCAGCCATCTTTAAACAGATTGACTCAAAAAGTGAATCAGTTTCAGAT